TTTTTTTTGGATAAATAATCTAATCTAATCTAATCAACCATTTTTTTTTCTCTTCTTGTGACCTCCCACTCTCTTCTTCTTCTTCTTCTTCTTCTTTCCATCTCTTTTTTCTCCTTTCCTTCTTCCTCTTTCCGTCATTCTCCATCTTTTTTTTTTCTTCTTCACTTTTTATCTGCATCTCTCGTCTCTTCCTCTCTGTCTTCTTTTATATATAAATAATCTAATCTAATCAGCCATTTTTTTCTCTTCTTGTTTTTCTTTATGTAAGTTTTCTGGATGGTCATGAAAGTTTTATGGATGGTGTTTATGAGATGGAAATTGAGAGAAAAATGAGAGAGACAATGGTTGCTGGCTATGTGTTTTTTTTCCTTTTTTTTTTTCTGGGTTTATTCTTAACGGGTTAACGGGTCGTGTAGGATATTCGCGAATAGTAACGGGTCGTGTTTGGGTCTAGTATTTGTCACCCGTTAACTTAACGGGTCGTGTTCGTGTTAACCCGTTCCCGCTAAAACGACCCGTTTGCCAGCTCTAGTTGAAGGAGCAGTTGGGGTCAGGGGAAATAGAGAGAGAAATGGGCTTCATGTTGCGCCATAATGGGTATCCAATTATGAACCCTAAACTGATCCTATTCCTAGAATCCTTAGGAGTCATTTCATTGAAGCCATATTCAAAAAACAACAAATTGAAATATGCAAATTACAAAATGTTTTTAGTAAGCAACAGAAATCAAATCTTACGATTTCAGCTTCCTCTTCCTCCCGGCCATAGTGATTGGGAATGAATATAAATATATATCCTAATTGGAAACCCCCAAGAAAAAGAATCTGGTGACAAAATTAGGGGAAAGTCATTTAGTTGAGCTCTTTTTCCAAATACTTTGATTCTTTTCAGAATCGACGGGGGAGAGAGAGAGAGTTTTATTTTTATTTTTGTTTTTGTTTTTAATATTTTAATCATATTTTAATTAATTTAAAAATTTTAAAAATAGTGTCACGTAGACAACTAATGGAGAGATCTGACTGAAACCTTAATGGCGGAACTACATTGTAACAAATTTAAAAAATTACGGTATGTGATCGTAAAAATTGAAAAGATAGAGACTAACATGTCTTAAGGGTGTAACCACAAGGTACTAAACTGTAATTAACCTAAAAAACTATCCTCTGCTGCCCAGCATGTCTGACCTGCGCAGTCTCCTTGATTCATAGAATCCAAAAAAAAAAAAATATGGAAAGAAAAAAAAAGAAGTTGCAAATATAAATTTTAAAAATTCATAACCGCCCAAGTTTTACTACTACATATTATGTAACATTGGATATCTTTGTCAAAGAGACAAAAATAGGCACCCAAGAGAAACTAGTACAGTAAATTAAGGTAATGGATAGCCTAGCTTAGAGCAAGTCCATCAGTGGGGTTTGGACTGAGGCAAGGGGGGGTTTGGGAGAAAAAGGGCCTTCAGCAGCAAGGTTTGGCCCGAGTTGGTGGTGGGGTCCATGAAGTCGGGCTGGCCCGAGGGCAGATCCAGACTCAGGTCCAAAACTTGGGGGAGCTGACGTCATCGATGACGTTAGCCCTGCGCGCGCCCAACGGCTCTGGGACAGCTGGCGCCATCTGGGCGCTCCGATCTCCTTTCTCTCTCCAATCCAACGGCAGCAAATATTTTTGCTATAAAAAAATGAAAAAAAATCTGAATTTTTTTTTTTAAAATACACAAAAATACTGTAATTTTTTTTCTATAAATACCTACCATTACTCTTCACTTTCAACACCAAATCCTCATACATTTTCTTCTACTTCTACTATTATTCACTTTTTACTCAACATTTTATTCACTTTCAAGTTTTATTTTTCTTTATCAACTTTATGGCTTCTTCTATCGATGGTGTTGGGGCATGGAGCACCATGGAAGATGTTTTGTTGTGTGAGTGTTGGGTCTAAATTTCTCATTGTCCCGTCACGGGCAATGAGATAAAATTCTTTCAAATGTGGAAAAAAATTCATTCCGAATTTTGTGAAAGATCGGGTTCGACCCGTACGGAAATGACATTGTCTAATAGGTGGAAAATTCTCAATAAAGAGTTGGGGAAATGGAGAAATGCTTTGGCAAAAGCGATGGACAACCGTAGAAGCGGGGAAAATCTTACCAATGAGGTAAATTATTTGTAATTTTTGTTTTATTAATTTTAATGTGCTCATATTTTTTTATAAATGTTTATTGCATTGTCAATAGTTTGTTAATATTTCATTAATACCCAATATTTTGTTAATGTTTCTTGCATTGCAATTATTTTTTAATGTTTATTGCATTGACAATATTTTTTAATGTTTCTTGCATTGCAATTAGTTTTTACTGTTTCTTGCATTGACAATATTTTTTAAAGTTTCTTGTATTTCCACTATTTTTTTTTAAATAGATTGTACAAGCACAAATGTGGTTTGGTGCTACTGGGCAAGGAAAAAAATCTTTTAACCATCAAGAATGTTGGGAGGTAGTCAAAAATTGCAAACGTTTCAGAATTATTCCCACGGGTTCGGAAGTTGTGTTGAACGAGACGCCACTCCATAATTCAACGGCATCAGATTCACCTCTCGATTCCCCGATGAGTGAAGACTCACCCATCGAAAAGGAGAGGAGGCCTATTGGGAGAAAGGCGGCGAAGGCAAAGAGAGTGAGTAATTCTACTAGTAATTCATCTAAATTTTTGGAGGAAATTGCAAGGCAAAGCGCCATGAGACTTGAAATAGAGAGGAAAACCCAAGAAGATGACAGGATATTTCAAATGGAATGTGTACAACAAAGGGAGTATGTACGCAAGCAAAACATTGAGAAGCAGGATCGGGAAACCATGGCCATGGATACAAGCCATATGTCCCCTGAAACAAAACAATTTTGGAAGCTAGAACGAAGGAATGTTATGAAACGAAGACTTTTTCGTGACGATGGACCTAGCAACACGGATTGGTTAAATGATCAAAACCATTAAGTTAGTTTGCTTGCCTTTTATTTTCATTGTATTTTAATGTTTTATTTTGAAAATTAGTTGTAATTCATGTATTTTATTTTCATTGTATTTTAATGTTTTATTTTGAAAATTAGTTGTAATTCATGTATTTTATTTTCATTGTATTTTAATGTTTTATTTTGAAAATTAGTTGTAATTCATGTATTTTATTTTCATTGTATTTTAATGTTTTATTTTGAAAATTAGTTGTAATTCATGTATTTTATTTTCATTGTATTTTAATGTTTTATTTTGAAAATTAGTTGTAATTCATGTATTTTATTTTCATTGTATTTTAATGTTTTATTTTGAAAATTAGTTGTAATTCATGTATTTTATTTTCATTGTATTTTAATGTTTTATTTTGAAAATTAGTTGTAATTCATGTATTTTATTTTCATTGTATTTTAATGTTTTATTTTGAAAATTAGTTGTAATTCATGTATTTTATTTTCATTGTATTTTAATGTTTTATTTTGAAAATTAGTTGTAATTCATGTATTTTATTTTCATTGTATTTTGATGTTCTATTTTGAAAATTAGTTGTAATTCATGCATTCAATAAAATACCTTTTTATTAAAAACATTTCATACATAAAAAAACAAACCACATCCAAAGCATTAAAAATAAACAAACCACAACCAAAGCCTTAAACTAAAAAAACATAACACAAAATAAAACATAAACATAATAAATAAAACAAACTTGTTCACTTCACTTCATTAACCGTCATTGCCTTTCACCGCCCATAAATGCTCGATCAAGTCAACTTGACGTCGTTCATGAATATAAGACGATTGCATCTCCGTATATCGATCAATCATACGGGTCATTACACCACCGTCCCTAACCAACGGTTCATGATGCACTGGTTCTCCATTTGGCCCCATGGGTTTTTCATAAATACGTGTCAAGGCCATGTTCATTGGATCCGGTTCGTACACGTCTTCAGATGAATAATCATAGATTCATACTCATCCTCCACAATCACGTTATGGAGGATGATGCATGTCATCATTATGCTCCTCAGCACCTCCTCATCAAACATACGTGCCGTACCCCTAATAATAGCCCATCGGGCTTGGAGGATACCAAAGCACCTCTCCACATTTTTTCTGTGCCCCTTTTGATATGTAGCAAAAAAATTTTGCTTCTGGGATCGAGGATGCGGAATTGACTTGACAAATGTGGTCCACCTCGGGTAGATGCCATCAGCTAGATAATACCCATTTTGGTAGACGGTATTGTTGATTTGATAGGTGATATTTGGGGCTTCACCTCTCAAAACATCATTGAACACCGGGGATTGACCCAAGACGTTCAAGTCATTTTGAGATCCGGCAACTCCGAAGAAAGCATGCCAAACCCACGTATCAAAACCGGCAACGGCTTCAAGGATGATGCTTTTTTGGCCTTTCCGATTCCCATAATCGCCTTGCCAAGCGGTCGGGCAATTATTCCACTGCCAGTACATGCAGTCGATACTACCAATCATTCCTGGAAATCCTCTCTCTTCCGCTTTTTGTAGAAGTCGTTGCAGGTCCCTGGGCGTAGGTCTACGCAGGTAGTCCCTGGTGTACAGAGTTTCGACTGCATTACAAAATCTCACCAAGGTCTCCAAAATAGTGGACTTTCCCATCCGGGCAATCTCATCCACTTGATCAGCAGATGAGCCATACGCCAACATTCGTATAACAGCTGTGAACTTTTGCTC